AAGGCTCACTCTGAGAGTTGCCACCGCTTGTTCGGTCTTGTGGGGGAAGCCGATATTTGTTACTTATGAAGAAAACAACGTATGTGATTTAGCAACCAGCCGCCGAACCTACTTTTGGGCTGCTCCATGTGATGAGGAGGCACAGGCAACCCCTTTGCCTACCTTTGGTCCAGCAACCAACCAACCATGTGCAAGTCCCTCCACAGTTGAGATTCCCCATCTTGCATTGTGTTCCACTAGCAGTCGATGCTGAGTGGCCCATGGATGTTCCATTCATGGGGAGAGTTTGTAGATAGTTAGTTAGTAACTAGTCGTATATCGTGGCATTCCCATGAGAGCGGATCCATACGCACTCGTGGGGAGCGATAACTTTTAGGAGCGAGAGCTCTGGATCCCGTCAGAGATAGCTCCAACAGCTATGCTGGCCTACAGCTCCAGCACCCGCAGCTGGCTTATCTCCAGCAAAGCAGCAAGAAAGGATCGTCCTTTCTACCATAGTTAAGAAAATAGTACGAAAGATTGAGACCGATCCTGATTAGCTTGTAGCCCCTTTGATACCGCAGCAGTTGATACCAATCCTGTTGAGGCCGGGCAGAAGCAGTAGGAGGTAGCAGATAGTACTGTTCCCAGACTGCCACTGCACGATTGAATAACGAAGGCTCCCAGCTCCTGAGGAGAGCGCGCTGGCCCAAAAGGGCCCAGCAGAGAGCTCTGCTGGCCCTCCTGTCTGACTGACAGGGCCAAGTCCTTGGTTTGGTGCCTACTGGAGGTGTTGGAATACTCCTGAGGCACGACAAGGCTCCCTGAACTGCCTGACTACCGCTGTACCTGAGGAAGGGTTTCAGCGAGACCCAGTCCACTACTGGAGTATTGGAACTGAACCTTCAAGAAACTTATTGTACGGCTCCAACATGCTACCGCCAACGGCGGCACAGTCTACCAGACTTGGAACATAAGGTATATACACCCATACAAGGCCTGATCCCCTTGTAAGATTGCCATCGTGCGACGCACATGTCTACATCCAAATCTCATGAGAGTGCCCCGCACTTAAAATCATATGTTCTCCTTGTCCGACTGCTGTCGCGCCTTCTGTGACCCTTGTCAGGGGGCGAATGCAATACACGGCTCTTAGCCTTATTCGCGACTCGATCCTAGATAGGGTTTGAGTTCGACTCATGACTGAGTCTCTCGTGAATAGTCATTTGAGACAGGGTTCTCAATGACCGCGCTAGTCATACTAGGTTGATGATGAAACATCGCTCTAGATATTTAGTGCATTAGCCAGCGTGGAGTACTTCCACGCTACTAGATCCAGGCTAGACAAACCTTCCACGCGTTCCGTTTTAGGATCGTGGAGAGACGTAGGATTACTACTACAACCTACTCTATCACACTTCATAGTCTCCCACGGGAAGCCAGATCTACGATCCCTTGATGATGATCTCTCTCGTTGATTAGTTTTCATAGCTTTCTAATCTCTCTCATAACTTTCATTCTCTCAAACTCAAAACACTCGAAAGATCTTTACACTAGCTTTTAGCGTAGTGCAAAGGCCCTCCAACGCTTCAACCATCCTACACCCAAACGCCCCGAACACGCCCCATACACCGCCCAGCCGCTGCAGTATGGACACCAAATGACAACACCCACTGACACATCCGAACCACTCAGTCGCAAGGAAACCAAACGCACACAACAAATCCTTGGTGTACTCCTCTTCTATGCACGAGCCATCGACAACACCATGCTAACAGCACTCAGTGCAATAGCAATGACTCAGGCGGCGCCCACTACCAACACCCTCAAAGCATGCAACAAGCTCCTCGACTATGCCGCCACTCATCCAGACGCAACCATCCGCTACAAACACAGCCCCATGGTGCTCCGCATTGACAGTGACGCCTCCTACCTCAGCGAGCCCAATGCACGGTCACGCGCCGCTGGCTACTTCTACTGCAGTGACAGCACGGCCCCACCAAACCAACCCCTCCACAATGGCCCCATCCTTGTCACTAGCCCCATACTCAAAATGATCGTCTCTTCAGCCGCAGAAGCTGAAACCGGCGCCGCATTTGAGTGTGGACAAGAAGGCTGCCCCTTGCGAACCACACTGGAATACCTCGGCCACCCCCAACCAGCAACCCCAATGCGCATTGACAACAAAGTAGCCGAGGGCATCATTAACGACACTGTCAAACAAAAGCAATCCAAGGCAATTGACATGTGTTTCTACTGGCTACAAGACCATGTCAACCAAAACCAATACACTGTCTACTGGCAGCCAGCAGCACTCAACTTATCTGACTATCCCTCCAAACACCACCTGGCAAAACACCACCAGAACATGCGACCCACCTACTTATATGAACCGGGGGTCACCACCGACTCCACCCTACCCAACCAAGCCCTTTCAGCAATCCACATCAACACAACTCCATCCTCCTTGTGCGAGGGTGTATTAAAGTCCCAGTCCCACTGCGACATTTGACCCTTAAGTCCACCAGAAGCACGTCCCACGAGCAAGCCTGCATCCCTGCCAGGCTCGCGGGACCGTTACATAGATGTAGATCCAGCCTATCCCCTAACGGCATTTACCAATGCCAACTGCCGTTTGGGGACAGAAACCACCAAAGCCAATAGCTCATAATTGTTTCTAACCTCCGATTAAAACCTTAGAGCTACAGTGTGTTCGCGATTATATTTATAAACGTATATTTATATTCTCCAGTATATTTATGGAATTTCGATGTTCCCCCCTGAGTCACGAGTGACCGTGACTGACTTCAGTGCATGTGTACGTACCCTTCGCAAATCTCGTAGCAGCAAAACAATGGCTCGCAATCCATTCCAAACACTCCAAATCGATCGACGTACGTGTAAATGCCAATGCATGTCGATAGAGGCACTCAACAAGCTCTCACTCAGTGCCTCCAGTTTGGGTGTGAACCCGGCTGCCACCGTTCATCTTGACAGGTTTGCAAGGGCATTGAATATGGCTAGGGGAGCAAAGGCTGCCAAACAAAAACGTGACGGCACTCTCCACGCGTACTTTACTAGTAAATAGAGCCTATATTTATATTCTCTAGTATATTTATAGGAATCCGTATTACCCCCATATAAATATAGTCAAGAACTGACTGTACTGACTTCAATACGCTTCTCTAACTCATGAAATGTACTGATAATGCTTTGGTTGGTGCGGTACCGGTACTTGAAGGCAATGAAAAGGTTTGGTTGGTACTGTACCGGTACCGGTCTTGAAGGCAATGAAAAGGTTTTTAAGTTTATTTACACTGGATGTCAACAATGACTCGACATGTCCAAGTCGGTCCAAGGGACAAAAGCTACGATCATTATTGTACTGTAGCAGATAGAATTACATGTACTTTACAGATCATACAAGGGGGCAGCATCTTGCCCCATCTGTTCCCTATTTCTGAACTATGTGGGAACTCATCCGCATCCCAACCACATACTTCTTTCTCCCAACTTATTATGCCCCTTTGCGCGGATCAGTGTCTGTCTGGTGAAAGCTCAAAGCAACCTTGCTTCCGACACAATGCAATAACCCTTTGGGAGACATCGGGGGCAGCTTCAGCCTACCTGGCTACTTCCGTCGTCGGAGCATGCAGGGGGCTTGTTTCCTTCCTGGCTCGTGTGTTTGACTCGTCGAAGCAACGTCTGGTGGTAAATCAGAAGCTGCTTCATGGCTTCTTCCGCATTCTCAATTGTGGGATCCATCTCCGTGTCTGCGTCCAATACATCTTCCGGTGCATCCGACGTGGTCAATCTCTCTGTCGTTGCTAGTGCATCTGGCTTCACGGCTGCTCTACTTCGGAGTCGAACCATCCTTTGTGCGTGGAAGATCAACGCCAAGATACACGTAAATATAAACAAAACAAGTGGCAAAAGCATATTGCTGGGTTTGAGCTGCTGCAATTCGGAATCCTCTTCTTCATCGTGATTGGTAAGCTGGATTTCCAGATTGCACATGGCTGGATCCTTTGTGATGGCATCATCGAAGAAGATTCCCCTCGTTTCGGCGTCTACAATCCAATGCGAAATGCCAGCGACAATCTCCTGTCGTGTCGGGAACGCCACCAGCTTTTGTATCACGGGATCTCCCACTCGCACCAAGTTGCGGCTGCACATAAACTCTTGAAACTTGGGGCTTGGTCGGACGTCGACCCACCCTTGCACAATGGCCTTGCAGAGGCCTTGGTCGTAGGATTGTAGGACGAGATGGTTTTCTGTCGAGAAGACCCATTTGGCCATGGGGTAGGCTGCCTCCAGTTCTTGCTTGACATTGTAGGGCGCGCAAACCGGAACGCCTTGGGCAACGGCCACTTCAATGCTGGACAGATACGAGGTGGTACTGGACAATGTCAAAAAGGCCTGCCAAATTGGCCGTGTATGCCGTCACCCCAATGAAAATCGTAAAGGCAAAGCCGAGATTCAAGCACTTTTGAGACATGTTAGCGCTGCTCCGATAGTCCACCCCGCCTCCTAGAAACTCTAGAAAACTGACATTGAGTGAGTCGGTCAATATCGAGAACCTTCTTTTGGTCTTGTCCCATGGTGTGGCTTTGGGGTCGAAATCTCGAAAGTGTTTTGGACTGACAATGGTCGATAGAATGGCAAAGGCGACAATCGTACCCACAATGCACAACCACAATCCTGGAGAAAATGGTTGTAGAATCTTGCGAACGTTTTCCCGAAAGCTTTCGTCGGCCGAGAATTTTGGTTGTGGAATCCATAATCGGAATTCATCTTGCGCCACTGTGGTGGTGAACGAGGCCATGGCGAGACTACATACATCATAATGGAAATGACGGTAAGTCCAAGCGGCCAAGCGTGGTGATGTTTTGCAGGTAGAACATGCAGCAAAAGCCATCAGCTTTTTTCTTACCGTTCTGTGGTGACCCAATACGTGGAGATGGCAAGGTCTATAATGCCCGCCTCGACATCAGACACAGATTGGGTATACGAATTGGGCAAGCCTTTGTATTTGGATCCCTCGGATCGGTGCACGTACTGGATTGATTTGATATTGGAGTATTTGACGACAGAGTTGAAATAGTCAATGAGGTGTCCCCTCCATGGAATGCTCTCATCAAATACGGCGGGACTATTCGGCTCGTAGACATGCCCAGCCGAGTCCTCCTTGTAATGAAGAGGCCAGAGAATTCTGGGAACTCCCACGACAAGCGTGCGATTTTCCGTGGCATCAATGGTCTTGAATTCGAGCCATTCTTGTGCGATGGAGCGGCAGGTAGAATAGGAGTAATACAGGTCAAATCTGTCGCTCTTGTAGTACCGCTCTTTGGAGCTGCGGCATTGCTTGGGGTCCACGTAGCACCATCTGCGAGGACAGTAGGTTCGTGGATCCTTGCGGGAGGAGCAAGCCGGATCATGAACCATATCCCATGCAGCACACACGTTCGCTCCTTGATACGTGGGCTTGCAGACACCGTCCACCATCACTCCATCTTGTTCCAATCCGTCCGCAGCAGTAAGGATGGTGCAATCACTGTGATGGGCCAAGGTGCCAGTCGAATCGATGCAGGGACACTCTGGTTGCGACGGAAAAGTTTCCAGAAGAGATGGAGGAGAGGAGGCCTCTGGCATGGAGGCGGTACCACTACTACTACCGGTATCCCTGAGAGCACTTCCACTCGCATAAAAAGACGATCTCCCATCTCCTTGCTCTTGACCACTGGCAGTGGCAAGGAGACACAGAGAGAAGACCAACAGGTCGGGAAACAGAGGGCACTTCATCCTCTATTGGCTAGATGAGGCACTTCGTTTTCTATCCATCGCAGGGCTCAAACACCCGAGTAGAAAAGGCTCACAGGTGGTCTTGAGGTCAATAATTGGCTCTTGACGTCTTGACAAGAGCTTGCGACTTGCTTGCGGCTTGCGAAGAAGTAAGTGATAATGGTACCAGTACCGGTACCAAAACAGCTAAAGCTGACTTCAATGTCAGATTAAAATTAGATACTGAGTACTAGCTAGTACTGGTACCGGTACGTAGAATAGTAATAGCTGTAATTATGTTTCTCCGTGATAAGAAAGTATTGAGACATTATATTTAAACAAATTGTCTTTGTGACTTTCGGATGTTCTGTGTTCCGGTCTTCCGTGACTTAGTGGTACCATGACGGTACATAGCATTATTATTGTTATTTTATGAATACGTCATTGACCTCGGTCGTCGTTGCGGCTCTTCCATCAACGTCGGCACCTACAGCTCATTTGTTTGATGGTTCATGTCCGCTGTATCAGGCAGTACCATGAACCCTCCCGAGATATTGCAATCCGAGCCACCCGACTCTGATGATCAAGAGACCACAACCCGTCCTTTGAATGAGGCAGAGGAGGTCGCTGCCAGATTGGGTGTGAAACCGACGAACTCTTCGGCCAGTCCTCGCCAACGCCAACGAGCCTACTACTGGTTTCGTCGACTCCTCACTGTGGCACAGTTGTTCGATCCCATTCCAATTCCCAACTCGTTTGTCAACTATCAGTGTGTTTGGTGGAAGGCCATTTCTGGTAATGACAAAACGTCGGTCCTCCAAGACCACGGACTGGCGTATGACTTGCTTCCACCTGTTACTCGATGGGCGGTGGCATCCCCACTGGCACCTCTCTATCCTCGCTTCCATCATGGAAATGTAGAGCTGCGGACGAAATACTTGGATACGGCCGTGGACCAAATCATTCAGACTGCCCAACAACAGCAAACGAAGAAGCAGATTCGATTGGTTCTCATGGGAGGCGGCTATGATCTACGGTCTCTTCGCATGGCGCAACTATATCCAGACTTGATACTGGATCTGGTAGAGATGGATTTGCCACACGTGGTCGATGCCAAGAAGAAACTGTTTCATCACCGACTGCTACGACGACGTCCCGAACTGTCGACACTGGTCAAGTCATTGCGGTTGCTTGCCGTGGACTTGAACGACCTACAACAAGTTCAGGCCGCATTACTCGAAACCGTTCTTGTGGATGATGGCGGCGATTGGTTCACCGTCTTTGTCTTTGAAGCGGTACTGATTTACCTCGACAAGGGCATTCCCAGCCAACTCTTTGCGACAATCAGCAGTGCTTTGAGAAATAACAACCAACTCGGAGGGGCCTTGTGCTTTGCCGATACATTATCCAATGTAGAGGATGGCAATGAAGCGCAGGCAAAAGAGGAACTGAAACAGAATGGTTGGGACTTGCAGGATTGGATCACCAAGCCGGGCAGGACAAAACATTTGGGTTGGGCTCTGCTATCTTCCGAGACAACCGATCACGAGAAAACACATCAGTAATCAAACTATCCGCACTCGCACGGTAACCAGCAGTTTTAGTAAGAGAACAAACAAAAGCAAACTGCCGGTTGACGTTTGTGCCTCACTGCTTCCTGGGCTGTTTCTGGGCGTCCATAGCTGTTCTGATTGCACCGGTCATGCTGATGAGTCGAGTCTCTCCACTACTTGCCAGTGTACCTAAGCCAGTATAGTTTCTGCATTTTCTATAGTTGGTTACAAGTCACAGGACCCCGGTGACTGTCGCACCATGTCAATCACCATAGAAAAGGTCGAGTTTACTACTAACGATGGTGTGAACCCAATGCTGGCACATGCTGCCAACTGCTGATCCAGAAAAATGCCAGGATACACCAATGTGGGTTGTAAAGATTTGGTGTAGTCGGCAAACATATCACTGTACCAGATTTCCACAGCAATGTTTTGTGGCATTTTGGATTGAAGGATTTTGGTGAATTGCACTTGCTCTCCGGCTTTCATGTCCGTGGCAACAAAGATGCCAACTTTTGGTGGTGCTTCACGTTGTGATTGTATCCACTCTTGCAAATGCCAAACACTGGCATCACTGACAATGTCCCAGGTTTCGTGCACATGCTCGACAAAGGACCCATCTCCGACACGAATGTGGACAGATGCATAGGGTACATTCCCCCATACATGTTGATGAATGTTCTTTGCGGTTTGTCGAATGACATGACTGAATCTGATGTGAAAGGGAGTGTCGTTTTCAGTGACACTGGCATGAAACTTGATACTAAAGGAATCCAACAAGGTCCACAGAGGATAGGAAGAATGATTGGCTGCAATTTGTGTCCAATCGTGCAGTACCTCGACCACATTGTGCTCACCAGAGCTGGTGGTTCCTTCGAGATCTGGTCGATTCTTGGTGAAGAGTGTATTGTAGCGTGAATATTCACTTTCAATCACCCACTGGCTCATTTGATCTTCATCATAGACCTTGTGCATAAAATGTCGAAAATCAACCGTGGGGACTCCCGCAAATGTATATTCCATGTCCAACACGGTTTCCAAGTCAAGGTACTCATTACTCTTGAGTCTGTGTAAGTATTGCTGGGGTAGGCTCAAATCGAGTCTGTAGGTATGACTGTTCCGTTGTCCTCCCTGCTTCAAGGAAGACCCATAAAGAAAATAGTGTGGGAGAACAGGCGCCGTGATGAGTGTCCGATTGGTTGCCTTTGCAACAAGATAGGCATGTTGCATACAGAACACTTGGTTTGACCATCCTGAGATGGACAAGTACTGCAAGTATCCAGACAACATGTTGTGGTCAGGGACAACAATTGCAGGAGCAGGAGCAGGAGCAGGAGATCGTGGCACTGGCTGTGTAGGTGCTGCTTCTTGAGATGCTGCTTCTGCTGTTGACAGTGGAGCAGTATGATTGTCGGGTCCTTCTGTCACAAGAGTAGCAGTTGTGGGGGCATCACTGTTGGATTCCGATTCTGGTTTTGTCGCATCTGTCTCATTGGTAGTGACTGTGTCGTCAGGTCCTTCTATCACAGGAGTTGCAGTTGTGGGGGCATCACTGTTGGATTCCGATTCTGGTTTTGTCGCATCTGTCTCGTTGGTAGTGACTGTGACAGTTGGTACCGCAGTGGCTGTTGTTGCAGTCATTTGTGTTGCTGTGCCTGACTTAGTTGATGATGATGCTGCTGTTGTGCTGGTGGTGGCGATGATTTCGGCCGAGGGGCTGTCTCTAATGATGGTCCATCCGTCTCGTTTCTGTGTCGTGAACATGCCGCTCCTGCTGTGGTCTGTGGAATTGTCGTTTCCCCTTAGCTGAGACACATTACCCGTACCGGTAATGGTATTTGTGATCATTGAATGATTGTTGCTATTCCTTGTACCGGTACTGTCTTGTGCCTTGGAGATTTCTGGGAGAGTTGGATTAAAAAAGCGTTCAATTTCGAGCAAATGGAAAGTCATGAGAATGCCTACAACAGCCAGCATTCTTTGCCAGGGAGAAGTTCCACAACTGGCAATGCCAACGGGAACAGTGCTTTTTGTAGTGGTTGTGTTCATAATATATCGATGAGTGCCGCAGCAAGAGGAAGAAAAGTTATGCAATGCGATGCAGTTGCCTCGTGTTGATGCTTTCCTTTGGGAGTTGGTGTTATTCTTTCGAATTCAGCGGTCGCGTTTTTGTTCGCTTTGGTTTGGGATGCTTGGCAGCTTGTGGGCTCCCGGTGGCTAGCTAGATGGCTAGAGCACTAAACCATTGAAGGGGTGACGCAAAAGGATGGGCCATGCAGGCTTAACCTTCTGATGACTTTGACTGACTGACTCCACAGTACCAGTAGCGGTAGCTAGTTATACTCATAGTAGATAGATAATGACTGAGCCACGCAGTCTTTCACCGTCGTCATCACGTTTCACAGTACGACTGTACTGTACTTTTTGGTCGCTCCTGCACGCCGGTTCCTGTTTGTCGAAACGTGCCAATTTCCTCAATTCATTGATCTATTTCAGACGAGCTATTTACCAGGGTCGTTGGGTAAAAGACCTGGTATCGTTGACTGATGTTAGAATCATGAATCATGATGGCCCCAAAAGTTATCAGCCATTTTGGAGTGAAAGGGCCCGAAATCGGGATTTACAAGTAATTCTGCTTGATATTTGGGTTTCGATTTATATTTTAGTTTCGATTTTATATTTCGATTTTGATTTGATATTTAGGTTTCGGCTTGATTTTACTAGTTATTTACCAAAGTAATTTGGTTTCAGTTTTATATTTAGGTTTCGATTTTATATTTCTATTTGGAATTGATTAATTTAATTCGATTCTTAAAATCCTGATTTCGGGCCGTTTCAGTCATCGGCCGATAAATCCCGAAACTGACTGATAAATTCACGAAACAGGCTACTACATGCACACAGTGTAGTATCAGCCTGACTGAGTTTACTAATCTGAATCGAATCGAATCGGCTGATTTATAATCCGTTATTACGCCAGTCCTGTGCAGGATTAAACCTCTCATACCCAACGACCCAGGTTCCGGGTATACTGTACTGGTACCGGTACTGTGCGAGACTATTGGGAACGCTTCCGCGCGAAATTTCTGCTTCTGATAGCCTCTTTTGTACTCTAGCTAGCTAGCTAGTATCTCTCGTCTCTCGACGAAAGCGTCTCGGTGGGAGAAGAGCCAGCCCCGCACATGCAAACGTTACTCCAGGAGTACAAACAAGTTTGCGGAAGAGTCGGCCAAAATCAACCTATCCCGGTTACGGCGTCAGCCACAAGGCGAGTAAATCGCGTCAACGCTACGCTTCTGTAGCACCATTCCATGAGAACATCGTTTTTATCCCTCTATTGAATTCGGCTTAATTGGAGCGCAGTCAGTTTGAAGCGTACGAGTCGAGTCGAGTCGTTCTGCTAATATAAGGCACCAGTTCTGACGAGTGATCTACATCTGGCCAGTCCAAAAGAGTGTGCGAGAGTTTGTGCGAGAGTTTGTGCTCCCAGAACGACTACTCGTTGTGCCTGTGTTTTACTACAGGGATCATTGTTATGTCATTTTCTGCATTCTCTCTATAGTTAGTTACAAGTCACAAGACCCCGGCGACTGTCGCACCAAGTCAATCAATTTGGAAAAGGTCGATCGTAATGATGGTGTAAACCCAATACTGGCACATGCTGCCAACTGCTGATCCAGAAAAATACCGGGATACACTAAAGTGGATTGCAAGGAGCTGGTGTAGTTGGCAAACATGTTGCTGTACCAGATATCCACTGTCAGGTTTTGTGGCATTTTGGAATGAATGATTTTGGAGAAGTCCACTTGCTGTTCGGCGTCCATATCAGTGGCAACAAAGAGACCAATTTTGGAAGGTGCTGGTTGCTGCTGCTGCTGTTGTAACCATTCTTGCATGAATCCGGCATTGGCATCACTGATGGTATTCCATTTGTTCCGAATTTGTTTGGCAAAATGTCCGTCTCCGACACGAACATGCATGGATGCATAGGGCAGATTCCCCCATACTTGTTGGTGAATGTTTTTGGCTGTCTGACGAATGAGATGACTGAATCGAACACGAAAGGGAGGGTCATTTTCTGTGACACTGGAATGAAATTTGATGCTATAGGAATCCAACAAGGTCCAAAGGGCAGAGGAAGAACGATTGTGTGCAATTTGGGTCCAATCATGAAGGACTTGGACCACATTATCCTTGCCTAATGTTGTGGTTTCTTCGAGATCTGGTCGATTCTTGGTGAAGAGTGTATTGTAGCGTGAAAATTCACTTTCGATGATCCACTGTTTCATTTGACCTTTATCGTAGAGCTTGTCGGTAAAGTGTCGAAAATCAACCGTGGGGACTCCCGCAAATGTATATTCCAGGTCCAACACAGTTTCCAGTTCAAGGTAGTCGTGGCTTTTGAGTTTTCGTAGGTATGCCTTTTCTAGTAGTCTGGAATCGAGTCTGTAGGTATGACTGTACTGTCCTCCATCCTTAAAGGAAGCCCCATTATGAAAAAAGTGTGGAAGAACCGGGGCTGTGACAAGTGTCCGATTGGTTGCCTTGGCAATCGAATAGGCATGTTGCATGCATACCACTTGGTTGGACCATCCGGAGATGGACATGTATTGTAGGTATCCAGAAAACACACTCGGATCCATGGGGGCAATAATAGGTTGTGGAATTGGTTGTGTAGGTTGTGGGGTATTAGGATTTTCAGTGTCTTCTTTCCCTGAAGCGGAATTAGTAATTGAAGGGGTATCAGTTTTTAATTCTGGTATTGTGGTAACTTCCGTTTTCTCCGTAGTGACAATGGGCACTGGTGTGACTGGTGTTGCCGCCACTTGTGTCGATGTGTCTGAAGTTTCTGTTGCTGCTGACGATGTTGATGATGATTTTGCTGTGGTATCACCGGCGGTGCCAGCTAAAGGGTCATCTACAATGATGGTCCATCTGTCTTGTTGTTTCTTTGAATCGGCGATTCTGGTCTCTGTACTGTGGTTTGTTGTCGAATGATCATTATCTCTGGCAGCAGGTATTCTAATTGTATGATTATTGCTATTGCTGATCCTTTTGCTGTCTTCTGTGTAGAGTCCATTGGATATCTCCGAGAGTGTTGGATAAACCCGTTTGATTTGCAGGTAGGCCATGAAGACGGCAAACAACGCCAGCATTCGTTGCCATGTAAAAATATCACTACTACCGGTAGCAGCGGGTGGAACTGTACTTTTAGTAGTGGTTGTATTGCCATTGCCGTTGCCGTTGCCGTTGCTGGTGGTCATGATGTACAACTTACTACATGTAAAAACAAGCTAGTTGTAGACGGGAGAGATGGAAGAAAAGTAAGGAAGTCGTTGCTGTTGTTGTGTCTTGTGGCGGCAGAAGAAAGAGCGGTCACTTCCGGACTTCCGAACTCCGAACAGTCCGCGGACCAAAAATAAATGTCTTTGTTCATTCGTGGATACTAATCAGGCAGCGGTGTTTCGGGATCAGGCTCATATCCTCATTTTTCTCCAATCATCTCGGATCTTCGAAAGTCTCCACTTCTGTGATAGCTTAGTCTAGTCGATCCCTTTGTGTTGACCTCGCTATTACTCTGGAGTATATATCCACACAATGAAATTAAAACACTTGGAATCCGCGTTATCATCGCTGCAACGTGAGTTTCCCGACCCCAAGGTGGATCTGGAACAGTATCCTACCAGTGCCCATTTGGCGGCGTGGGTAGCATTGACATGTTTGGAGCGAGGCGATATTGGACCCCGCCGATCCGTCTTGGATCTAGGATGTGGGACGGGCATGTTGGCACTGGCATGTGCCCTTGTGGAGACGGATGTTGTCATGGGAGTGGACTGTGATGAAGAAGCACTGCAAGTGGCTCAAGCCAACTGTCAAGAGTTGTTTGACGACGAAGAAGATACCGACACCAAAATCGAATGGATCTTGGCCAAGCTACAAAAACCGCCAGTTGTTACCCAAAAAAGCACAAAGAATAACGACAACCACAAACAAGCCAAACAAAAAGGTGGTGGTCGAGGAGGTGGTCGAGGAAGAGGCAAAGGAAGATCCTCCCAGAATCAACAATACCAACATGCCGCTCCAGTCTTGACCAATCCACTGTTACAAAAGCAAAAACAACAACCAACAGTACCCACCGACGGTTTGCCACAACTCCACTCCAATTGCGTCGATACGGTCGTTACCAATCCACCCTTTGGCACTAAACACAATGCCGGCATGGACCTACAATTCTTGCAAACGGCCATTCGATTGGCACGACGAGCCGTCTACTCCTTTCACAAGACATCCACACGACCCTTTCTCGTCAAAACATGTCAAAGCTGGGGATTACAAGTACAAGTCGTGGCTGAAATGAAATTTGATATTCCACAAATGTACAAATTTCACAAACAAAAATCCATGGATGTACAAGTGGATCTACTCCGCATAGAAATAATAGGATCCAATGAAAATGACACGGAGGAAGAAGAGGAAGAAAGGGCGGAGGAACAAAGGGAAGACGGACAAGACGATAGTGAAGAGGAAGCAGAGGACGAGAAATCTGAAGGATACTGAAAATGCACACACAACGCAACAACAAATCCATGGCCCAAAGAGGCAGTGCCAACGAAAAAAGAGAAAAGAACAATCGACATTACAATCTGGCTATCGGTGCCATAGGCAAAGCCTTCCAATGGCAATTCCGTTTTAGACACTAGAACGAACCATGCAATCTAGCGGGCCAAGTGGAATCAGTGTTGGAACGAGGATTCCGGTTCGTAACCTGCAACAATCTACACAATTGCTGTGTCTGCTTGAAGTGCCGAGCCCGCGGGCGGGAGTGCTCTCGAACGCGGCAAGAAACGGATGTGTCAATCCGGTACATCCGACAGACAGGGCTCTGCCTGTGCATTAAGGAGGCGACGAAAGAAGACAGGGATCTGCCTGTGCATTAAGGAAGCGACGAAAGAAGAGGAACAGGATGGCAGATGTGCAACATGCACGCCGCTAAGCTCGACAAGAGTGTGAACTTACAAAGACAGCTACTGGAATCCGCAAAACCAGATCTCTAGCTACACTGTAGGTTCGTTCCCTTCGTGTGGAGGTAACCGAGTTTCAGAAGAGCGAGAAAAAGCTTCGGATTGAAGGCGTTACATTGTATCCGATGTTGGTACCAGTAACGGGCTATGCGTGGCAATGTGGGACGTGGCGCGTGCGGCCGCGTTACTACTGAGAGCTGTGCAGCTCTGAAATTTTCATTTTCCACATGAATCCTGACCTGAAAAACTTTTGGATCTTTGGTATGTTTTGGGGGGTACGCGGGACCGAGTCGGAGTGCTACGTTATGTGCGAGACGATGATGGCTGAGTGGCTGGCTGGGTCCAAAGCTCGGACTCATTGTTTTGATTTGCGACAACAACAATTGCCATGTCAGTCAAACGTATTCTGCTTGGTGTGCTGCTTTTCGCTTGTATTGCGTCGTCGCAATGCAACGAGCTATCCAAAAAGATTGAAGACTGGTCTTTCGCTGAAGTTGTCAATAGCATCATCGGAAACACGCTTATGCTTTTCCTTCCAGAAGCCCTTGTTGCTTTTGTTTTTGGCCAGAGTGTCGCTTCTTTGGTTAGCGCCTTTTGGGAAGCGAGCAAGTCATTCGAGACCTCTATTGCTGCCTTTATCGAGTGGCTAGGAAACTATTGGTCAAAGTCGTACTATCAGCTCGCACGCGA